AAAGAAAAATTATGGCCAGATACAGTGACACTCACCTGTGGTTGGGGAGGCTGAGACAGGAAGATCGTGAGTTCAAAGCCAGCCTCGGCAAAAGTGAGGCACTAAGCAACTCAATAAGACCCTGTCTATAAAGAAACTACAAAATGGGGCTAAGGATGTGGCTCAGGGGTTGAGTGCCCCTGAGTTCAATCCCCAGTACCAAGGAAAAAAGAAAAATTATTTCCAAAAACATGGGAATGGCAATGTCAAAATATTCCTCAATCACCCCACATACTCATTCACACCTCCTGGGTCTTGTATTTGTGGCTGCTTTTGCAAATATTTTACTCCAAATAATAAAAAAGATGTCAGGCTCCCCAGGGGAACAACGCTTTGCTGTTTTAAGAGGGAGGAGAGGAAAGAATATACCCCCAAAGCTAAGCACACCAGCAAGGAGGAGCTTGCTCACCAGGAAAGTGGGGAGGACACAAAGGAGAAAAGACAGAGGAGAAACATGATAATTGAAAACCCTTGGGAAGAAAACAAAAGGAGGATTTTGTTAGGTAAGACTATCACCTTCTCTCTACCACTGAGCTATTCCAAAACAACAAATCACGAAGTGTACACGGGTTAGACTGGTAACCCTGGCAAGCTGGGGAATGCGGAGAGAATTGAAGGGAAGAGAAGTGAGGAAAAATAAGGCAATTCCTAAAGATGCATAGAGCAGCCCTATCTGTTTTCCCAAAAGATAACAGAAGCGTCACAAGTTTGAGGCCATCCCCCAACAACTTAGTGTGGCCCTATTTAGTGAGACCCTGTCTCAAACAAAAAAAAAATAAAAAATAAAAAGGGCTGGGGATGTATCTCAGGGGTTGAGTGCCCCTTGGTTCAAAACCAGGGCCAAAAATTTAAAAAAAAAAAAAAAAAAAAAGGACAATAGAAGGATTATGAGGGGCGAGGGTCTGCTATCAAATCCCAGTACAGAGCCCAAAAGATTCAGGGGAAGATCATCACAGTTTATTTTGCAGAAATACTACTGCTTCCATCATCCTTGAAAGAGCAGCTGAAAGATGCCAGTAAGATTATATTTGGGACAAGCCCCGGGATATAGTTTACTGGTAGAGCACATGCTTTACCATCATTCAATCCCTAGTGTCGCAAAAACAACAATAATAATGATGACATGCCAGGTGCGGTGGTGCACACCTGTAATCCCGGCATCTCAGGAAGCTAAGGGAGGAGGATTCCAAATTCAAGGCCAGCCTGGACAACTAAGTGAGACCCTGTCTCAAAATAAAAAACGAAAAGGGCTGGGTCTCTAGCTCAGTGGTAGGGCACCCCTGGATTCAATCCCCAGTACAGCAGAAAAAAAATTAATAATAATTATAATGATAAAAATAATGGTACAGGACTCGGGGTGTAGCTCAGTGGTAAAGCACTTGTGTCATTTATGTGAGGCACTGGGTTTGATCCTCAGCACCACTTACAAATAAATAAAATAAAGAGGGGCTGGGGATGTGGCTCAAGCAGTAGCGCGCTCGCCTGGAATGCGTGCGGCCCGGGTTAGATCCTCAGCACCACATACAAACAAAGATGTTGTGTGTGCCGAAAACTAAAAAATAAATATTAAAATTCTCTCCCTCCCTCTCTCTCTCTCTCTCTCTCTCTCTCTCTCTCAAAAATAAATAAATAAAATAAAGATACTATATCCATCTACTTTAAAAAATAATAGTAATGGTATAAATGACTGATTCACTGTAGATCCCACATCAGAATACAAAATAATGCCATCCTCCAGAGACAGAGTCAGTGTCCCGAAATGCTGCATTAATGCATGCTTTGAGCCGAGTACACTGGCATGCACCTGTAGTCTCAGCTACTTGGGAGACTGAGGCCTGAGAATCACTTGAGCCTAGGAGTTTGGGGCCAGTCTCAGTAACACAAAAAGGAAAAATGGCCAATAAATCCTTTAACTGAACATAGCAACTAAAACAATGGCACACTTGGAGACTTGGAGGGGACACAATACAAAATTGACCCCCCACAGTTCTCAGCTATACTTATGATTGCTCTGTATTAACCAAAGGCAGCGAACAGACTGTGGCCTGACATAAAAGTCTTTTCCTAGGCTGTCTTGGTACCAGATCCCCACAATCCCAGGCTTCATGTCCATGCCTCACCCTCATAAACCTAATAACCTGTTCTCAGGCTCTCATTGCCCTGACCTTGTCACAGGTCACCCCCTTTTCCTGTGACTATTTACCTGCAGCATCTGCCTTCTCCTCCTTTACCTAGTCACATCCTTCGAGTCCTCATGCCTAGTCCCAGACTCCTGAGCACCTTGGGGAGGCTTCTCCTAAAAAGCATCCCATCTTGTGGACCTAGTCCACAGCACATTCTGTTCCTACAGCAAGCCCTGGGTGGAACCCAGCCTCCTCCTCCTTCAATCACCAGAGCCTGGCAACACCCTTTCCAGAACTTCAAGAACTGGGAGAATTTGACCTGCCTTTTGGGGAACAAAGAATAGAAGTGAGGCATTGAGCTGACTGTCCTCAGCACAGTTGGGAAATAAATGACAAATGCTAACAGCTTCTGCAGAAAAGGAGACAACCAACCAGGTCAGAGAGGGAGTGAAGGCTCCATCTCTTCCCCACACATAACCACCATTCCTCCCTTGCCCACCAAGGAGTACCCCTGAGGCCTTCCCAGGTAGAAGGCCCATTGTCTCCATAAGAAGGTAAGGAACTTGATTTAGGGGCTGGGAGGCTGAGAAGAAGGGGAACCTGGCCGGTGTGGCCAAGTGGAGCTGAGTTTTCATAAGCCCATGAAGCCTTACAGTGAACACTATTTTTAGATTCCAGTCTCAGTTTTCTCATCCACAAAATGGGTATGATGATTATTATACGGTTCAAATGACATAATGGGTTGCACTTTACCAACTGAAAATAAACTCTATCCTGAGGTCTAAGCACTTCTTAAAAAGAGGCTTGTGGAGTTATAGGCTCAGTGATAACAGGAAGTGGCACGTGTACAAAGACTTAAATGAGCTAGAACCCCACCCAAGTTATGCCGTGCAAAGGACAGGCAGGGCAGAGGAAAGGCGTAGAGCTGTCTGGAGTGCTTACTAGAGAGACACTGAGGACATTTGTGTAAGTGGTGTCCCTCTCCCTTCCTTGATGAGACTTGTGGTGAACAGGAGCCAGGAAATTCCATGGCCATTCCCATCCAGGTCATATTTGACAACTGGCCAGGGGCACCTCTTCTGGGCAGGCAGGGAGGTATTACTCAACTGTAGGCCACCACATAAGATTCACCTCCATGCTAATCCAGCACTCAGATTCCTGGGCTCATTCCCAGACCTGTTGAGACTAATACTTTAGAAAACTATTCCTTTAACAAACTCCTCAATGAATTTATGTGAAAAGTTTGAAAAGCACAAGCACAGGAATATTGGAAAAGCTATATAGTCAGAAAGACCTAGGTCAAATCCCATTAATGCCAAATAGCAGCTGGGTGAGCTTGGGCAAGTTACTTAACCTCTCTGAACCTCTGTTTTAGCTATGTTTATGTAAATTAAATATGAAGCACAACCAATGCAGTGTTGTGAGTGTTAAAAGTACTCAAGTCAATCTGGGCAACATAGCAAGACCCTATCTCAAAAGAAAAGTACTCAGTGGGGTGTGGTGGGTACCTATAATCCCAGCAACTGGAGAGGCTGTGGCAGGATGATTATAAATTCAAGGCCAGCCTCAGCAGTTTAGCAAAGCCCTTCTTTATGAGATCCCCCCCCCAAAAAAAAGCAGGTGGTGGGTGGCGCCTGGGGATGTAGTTCATTGGTAAAGCACCCAAGTCCAATCCCCAGTACCTCCACAAAAAAGATTTTTCAAAAAAGTACTCAAGTTCAGGGACAGACATTCATGGTCTTCTTCTAAGCTATTCTAAGAGGCAGGAACAACCATGACCCCCATATAGTAGGGAAACTATCTGTCACTGAGAGGTCAGGAGCTACCTAAGATATCTTCAGTCACAATGGAGGGGAGACGCAGCAAATGTCCTCCAAGAGGCCCATCTCCACCCCTGCCACAGGTCCAGCAAGGTAAACAGAAGGAAAAGTGGGCTGAGCCTTGGATGGCGGCTAAGACATTTGCCTTCCTTAGGGGTGTCCCAGTGACTGGACACAGCTCCAAGATGGATCTACAAGCCAAGTGACTCTCCAACTGGAGGGTACAAGGGGAGAAGATGCAGTGGCATCCTGTACAGACCCCCACAAGCAAATGGAAAAAAAAGTACACTGACCCCCACTGGAAGGTCATTTCCTGGTATTAACCTGGGCAATCCCCTCAAAGCCTGTTTCCATCTGGAAACAAGTTAAAACTAAGAAAACTGAACAGGAGAAAGAAAGAAAAGAGAGAAGCGAGAAAGGGGAGGGGAGTAAGAGAGAGGGAGGGATGGGGACAGAGAGAACTGAGCAGCCACCTAAGAAATGGTACCCAGTCTGTGGCCTGCTCACAGGTCACATTAGTGTATGCACCAGCAGAGTTATTAACCATACCCTTCTATATGAACTTTGTGGCGGTTTCACTCTGCTGCTCCAAGACAAGTTACCTAAGTCTTAGTTTCATACATTCTGGTCCACGGAGCCCGGCCAAGAACTATAGCAGGAACTTCAGTAGTGCTGGGAATGAAGTACTACTCAGCGTCTGCCAAATTGCAGCCCTGGGACTATTCTGTCTCCAACGCGGAGACAGAGTGACAGTCTCCAACAGAGGATCCTCCACATGGCCCTGCCTCTAGGTCTCCCTGCTGGCCACAGAAACAGCCGCTGAGGGGCCTTAGAGACTCAACGCCTTGACCCAGCACGCGGCTCCGGTCACTATGCCCCAAGCCGCCGGACCTCTGTCCTGCGCTGTTCTATATGCCACCCCTGCCCCATGCCAACCCTGCCCAGTGGCAAACTGCATCCAAGTTTCCGGAGGAGCCCAGACCTTACGCGGACCCCCGCGCTCACCGCCCAGGCTCACCTGCTGAAGACCAGGCAGCCCAGGTGGTTGATCTCATGGTCCGAGCGGTAGCGGCTGTAGTCTTCCCACAAGTCCTTGAAGGCCGTGACCGCCAGGATGAACAGCACGGGCGCCAGCGCCAAGCCAGGCTGGAAGGCGTTCACCGCCGGCACGAAGTTGAGCAGCGCGATGAAGACAAAGTACACGTTGGCCAGGCGGTGGAACTGCTCGAATAGATTCTTGGGCAGGAAGGACAGCAGTGTGTACTTGGTGGTCTTGAGCCGGTTGTCTGCCAGGTGCTGGACACACCCGAGCCGCTGCAGCCGTTCGCCCTTGGTGGCACCCGCCACAGAGTCCTCCGCGCTCGGGGGCGGCAGCAGGTTGGAGCGCACCGTGCGCGTCCTGCCCTCCCGGCGGCGCCACCGCCTCACCGGGGGCTCGGGCTCCTTGGCTGACCCCGACTCTCGCTGCATGGCCGAGTGTCGCCGCGCCCGGCTGCACCGCCGCTTGCGCCAGCCTCCTAGGTGATCATGGCCGGCCACCCGGGCGCGGCGGCGCGGGATCCCCGCCTGCGGGACGCACAGAGATCGCGGTTAGCGCTCCGCCCGCCCCGCCCAACCCGCCCGGTCCGAGTCCAGCCTCCTGCCGCCGGTCGGCAGTCCCAGCAGGGCGCAGGCGGGGCCCGGCGCAGCCAGGCACAGAAGCCCCCTTGTACTCGCGCCCGCCAGCCAGCCCGCCTGGGCCGTTTCCGCCGAGGTGGCTCCTCCGCCCCGCCCTCGCTCCGCTCCCAGATTCAGTCATTCCGGATAGCGGGAAACAAAAAATAGCCCGAGTTAGAAACTTTAGAGGGATTTGGTTTCATTTCCCAGAAGTATAATTTCAATCCCAGAATGCGCTCTGCCACCGTTAGGACAGAGGAAACTGCAGAGCAGAGAGAAAAGGCACTCAGTCTCCTCGCGGCTGGCGCGCGCTTATCCTGAGCCAGACCTAACTTAGTTCTGGACCGGGAAATGGTCACAGGAGACCAGTGTAATCAATTGGAATAAAAATCTAGAGAAGCCGTGGTTTTCCACATTGTACAATTTTCAAATCTTAGTTTGAAAAGGACATGGGCTTCTAGGGACATCTCGTGATATTGCGATTCCTATCACCTTTACAAACTTCCCTACCCCACCTCCCAATCTGCATCTACTTTCAGATTCAATTCTTGGTTGAATTAGACATGTTTCCCTTTCTATGGTCATCGTTGCCTTCCCTTACCCACCTGAACAAGGAGATATGGCTCTTTCCCTCTCTCTGTGTTGTTTGTTTTTGTTTTGGCTTTGTTGTTGTTGTTGTTGTTGTTGTTGTTTTTCATGGAAAGGAGGAATACTATACTGTAGCAAAGACAGTGTATGGTTTGCAGGTATTTGGGTCTCTTTTTCCTTCCCTGGTGAACCTAAAGTCAGCAATATTCCTCCCATGCTGTGGTTCTGAGGTGTGGGCTATCACCCAGACAGTGACAGAGAGCTGAAGATGATTGTTGGGATTGATGAGGTTGGGTAGGAGAGGGTCACAGAAGTATGGGGCAAAGGGCTCCCTTTCATACTGACAGAGAATAAGAGGAGTTTGTGGAAAGTGGACAGAAGAATAAGCTTGATTCAGGATTCAGAAGCAGTTAAGACCGCATTGGTGCATCACAAATGAGACAGTTTGCTACAACTTCCTGGTATAGAAAACAAGGATTTCTTGCCTTGGAGGCATGGCTGGGAGGCCAGGTGCACCTGTCTGGATTGGGGAAGCAATGGCCTCCTCCTCTTTGGAGATCTCTCTTTTTTTTTTTCCTCCACCTCTTCCCACCACCAGCACCCTGCACCCCCTCATTAAGACACTATCATCTCTCTAGAGACTGCTTTGGGCAGATGTGGTGGCACACGCCTGTAATCCCAGCCCCTTGGGAGGATGAGGGAGGTGGATCATGAGTTCAAAGTCAGCCTTGTCAACTCAGTGAGGCACTAAGCAACTTAGCAAGACACTGTCTCAAAGAATAAAAAGGACTGAGGAGGTGGCTCAGTGGTTAAGACCCCATGGGTTTGACCTCTACTAAAAAAAAAAAAAAAAGAAAGAAAAGAAAAAGAGAGAAACATCTTTGACAGCTTTTGCTGGCCCTGGGTTCCTCCCTTGGGTTCTTCCTGACAAGCCACTTCCCTAGCTGTGCTCAAGTCACTTGTCTTTCCTCCACCTCCCTCCCTGGGGTGGACCTCCCTTCTAGCACCCTGGATTTTGCCTCTTCTAGTTATACCAGGGTCTCACCTCTCTACAGGTAGCCTTGCTACAACCCATCATATTTACCAGAATCCAACATAAGGAGGGTAAAGTAAAAGATAATGTAACAGGGGTTCTCTTGATACTTTGACTATATCCCTTTGTGGCTCTGAAACTTACATGTTTTTATCTTTTTCCCAATTTCTTTTCCCTAACCTTCTCCTCCCTGATCTTCTTTTTCCCTAACCTTCTCCTCCCTGATCTCTCCTCTAACTCATTTTCTCTGAATCACCTTTATAAAAACCCCCTATTCCTACTGATGGGCAAAATCACAGCTTTTGGAACAGGAGTCCCCCATGTTTTTCCTTTGCTAGCAAAGCAATAAACCTTCTTTTTTATTCTTCTCAAAACCATGTCCTCATTATTGGATTGGCGTCAGTGACAAGGACCAAGCTTTTGGCAACAGTAATGGAAATAATCTGTTCCATATATCAAATCTCCTTCCTCCTCAGTCAAAGAGGTACTATTTTGAGGTGTGAAAGCCCAGGCCAGGATAATATTTGGCTGAAGTGTCTGCATTTTCAGGAAAAGAAATCAGATCCCCCAGTGAACCAGCAGTATCACAAACTATTAACAGCAAATGAATGACCATAACTCATGTTTCCAGTATCTAACACCTGGTGTCTCCATCTTTTCCTCCACCATCCCACCCAGTGAGGCCCGGAGGCCTTCTGCATTCCTCCATTTCTATAGCTACCTCCAGTCTTTACAGTTATCTCCAGGGTTGCCCCAAAGCCTTCCCTGGGTCCCCTTGCCTCCCAATATCTGTGCTTCCGTCAGTCCACTCCCGGTTGTCAAAGTAATTACTTAACCACTTCATTTCATTTCCTTACCCTGGAGCTTCTAGAAGTCCCCCCTTGCTTACAAAGTCAAAAGCTGACTCCTCAGGCGGAGGTCCCTTGAGGCCCTGGGGGGAACTGGCACCAACTTGCTGATTTAACTCTGCCCCTCCCTGGTCCTGACCCAGCCCCAGGGCGCGAGGTCTCCTTACCCTGCTCAGAACAGGCCTTGCTCATCCTATCTACATTCCACTCTAAGGTTCCAAGATTCTGTGAGTCACACTGCTCCTAAAGTCTGGAATGTTTCCCCATAAGCTCTTCGCCAATCAAATTCATCATTTCCAGTGGGCTTAGCTCCACTCACCTCCCAGAAGGAATCCCACCTTGTAGGGGTTTTGAGCTTGGATGCCTTCCACTAGCTAAATTATCAGTCCTGGGTGTCTTGGGCAGGGCCAAGACTATGATGAAGCCTGGCCAATGCTGGGATGCTGGGCCCTGGACAAATCACTGTGATCCTTCTTCAGCAAGTAGCTTTTTTACAACCTGCTATGTGCCCTGCACTGAACGCATACTAGGAACACAAGAAAGAATTGTCAAGGATAACAGACATTCGTGGAACTGACTTTCTAGCAATTAAACAAGAAATCCTGAGACACCTTCCAAGAAGGTGACAAAAGAGACAAAGGAGGGCTTCTCCAAGGAGATGAAATCCGGATGAGACAAGATTCAGTGGAAGAAACAGGCAGAGGAAGCAGCTCTATAAAAAGTTTTCAAACAAGAGAAGTCCCAATATGCTCAAAACAGGTAGGGTTTCTCTGCCACTTTTCATTCAGAAATCTGCTAACTCACAGGCTGTGCTATAGGCAGTACAGACTCTGCTCTCCTGAACACTAAGAACTGGTACAGGAATTCTGACAGAGAGGCACAACAGATGACAGGATACAGGATGGGGTGGAGTGGTGTACTGCCCCACCAGGAGTCAGAGGAGGTCTCCTGGAAGCTCTGAGCAGAAGCTCAATATAAGCCATGTTTGGAAGAAACAGTAAGAGGGTGCAGAATTCCAGGCCCGCCAGAAGGCCCTGGTGGCCAGAGCAGGGACAGCCTGGAGTAAGGTCTCACAGGGCCTTGTGAATCTTGGTGAGAATTTTTGCTTTTTAAAGTTGAGTGAGAAGGGAAGCCTTGGGAAAGTTTTGAGCAGAGCAATCTTGTGATTGGATTCAGGTTTTCAAACTCTGCTCAGTTGCTGTGTGACTAGAATGTAGAAGGGCCGGCGTCAAAGCAGGGAGAGGCCCCCTCAGCGATCCTGAAGAGAAGAATGATGGTGCAGCCATGTGGTGGTGGGACATGGTCTTTGCTAGAGTCAGTGGGATTTGCTATTGGTGTAAGGTGTAAAAGGAAGAATAGAGTCCCAGATGGCTGAGCACCTGAAAACTGGCATTTCGATCCGCTGATCCACCACATTATAGACCTGGTGGTGGGTGGGAGATGGGGACTGGGCTGTGGAGTGGAGATAGGCTGGCCTGGATGCACTGGCCTGATGTCAGGACAGAGGCTCAGCTGTAAGTGTCTATATGGGGACAAGAGCAAATCTGGGTGTAGGAGGGAGTGGTAGAGAGTGGTTGGAGACAAAGTGGTCAGCATGCGGGGCTTCACTGGCCTTTGGAAGGGATAAGTGTCTGCAACAGGAAGCCATGAACTTTCCCAAACAGGAGCTTGAGATGAGAGAAGCTAATTTTCCATTTAACAGATGGAAGATGCATTCCAAGCATGGTGGAGGAGGAGAAGCAATGAATGAGGAGGAGGTTTGAAAATATGGTCAGCTCTATTTAGCAGTTTCCACATTCAAGGATTCAACCAACCAGGGCTAAAAAATATTTGAAAAAAAATTATACCTGTACTGAACATGAACAATCTTTTACTCCTTTGATGTTATTCCATAAACAATATAGGATAACAACTATTTGCAAAGCATTTTGGTTGAGTTAGGTATCGTAAGAAATCTAGTGTGATTTAAAGTGCATGGGAGGGCGGTATTATTAGAAAATCGAGGGTGATTTAAAGTACATGGGAGGGCTGGGTGCAATGTTGCATGCCTGTAATCCCATCTACTTGGGAGGCTAAGGCTGGAGGATTGCAAATTCAAGACAAGCCTTAACAACTTAGTGAGATGGTGTTTTAAAATAAAATTTAAAAGGGTCTGGGCTGGGGATGTGGCTCAAGTGGTAGCGCGCTCGCCTGGCATGCGTGCGGCCCAGGTTCGATCCTCAGCACCATATACAAACAAAGATGTGTCCGCCGAAAAAACTAGAAAATAAATATTGAAATTCTCTCTCTCTCTCTCTCTTTAAAAAAAATTTTTTTTAAAGGGTCAGGCTTCTAGGATAGAAGCTTTGAGGTAGACTGTTCCTGGCTTCAATCTCTAGTAGCACAATAAATAAGTAAATAAAATGTGAGAATGTGTAAGTTAAATATAAATGCTATCTCAT